CTCCAAAGCCATACAGAGAAACCCTGTTGCGAAAACAAAACAAAACAAAAAAGGTAGAATGAGGGGGCCAAGCGGTGCTAGGGGTGCAGGTCTGGAGAAGGGTAGGACAGACCTAAAGTGAGAGCCCTATGGCAGTGAATTACCTGTGCACAGAACATTCCTGGGTCATAGCAGTCACTCCAAGGGCCAGCACACAGAGGCATGTGAGTTTGCAGAGTGAGTGAACCAAAGGTTTGCCTTGATTTCAGGCTAGTCCAACCTATAGAGAGCCGAGGCCCCAGGGGACATCCCTAACCTCTAAGCTGAAAAGGCTGGAGAGCCATTGGGACCAGATGGGGACTAGTGTAGAGTAACCTTATATTGCAAAGAAAGACATAATGGGTACAAGCACATCATAGTGGAGCTAAGGCTCACAGATCCTCCTTGCCAACCAGAAGCACCAACACAGAACCTTCAGAGCCCCCTGAAACACAGCCCATTCTCTGCTGGTCCCCAGATCAAGAACCTTTAGTGCCCTCAGGATGAAGTCCAAGCTCATCCATCCAACACCTCTTCCTTCTTTCTTTACACAAAGCCTCTGCCTGCAGCCTCCATACCAGCTAGAGGAGAGTCACCTGCCTTTCCCCACCTGAGCAGCCTCTCTGCACAAAAGTCCTGGGATTTCTCCCAGGGCAGGAAGCCAATCTGGGCCCATCTTTGTTCTTTGTCAGCATAGTGGTTCTATGAAATCTGTGGACCCAGCTGGGTATCTGCTCTGTGCCCTGGCTAGACACTGATGTAGTTCGAATAATAAAAGGGCCCAGACACTGATATTGGGGTTCAAACTTCAAGCTGAAGCCGGGAGTTGGTGATGCATGGCTTTAATCCCAGCACTCAGGAGGCAGAGGCAGGTGGATCTCTGAGTTTGAGGCCAGCCTGGTCTACAGAGTGAGTTCCAGGACAGGCTCCAAATCTGTACAGAGAAACCCTGTCTTGAAAAACCAAAAACAAACAAACAAAAACAAAAAACAACAACAAAAACCCAAAAAACAAAAACTTCAAGCTGAATATCAGAAAAGCAAAGCAGCTGGCCACTAGCTTCTTACCTCTACCTCAGGCTGAATGGGCTGATCCTGTCTCCACGATCTCTCACCGTGCCTCAGACTGTAACCTCTCCTCAGCATGGCTGGAGAATGAATACTGAATACTGAATACTGAAGACACTGCTTCTATCTTTTATACCCCTCCAGTGTTGGGATCCGTTACTCTTTTAGACTGAGTCAATCTCATGTATCCCTGGGTGGCCCTGAACTCAGATCCATCTACCTCTTAATCCTGAGCCCTAGGATTAAAGGTGTGTACCACCACCTCCTAGCTTCTGGTTGCTGGGATTAAAGGTGTTTGCCTGGCTTCTATGGTTTGTGGCTGACTTTGCTTTCTGAATCCTCAGACAAGCTTTAATAGATCATAAATAATATTATCACCACACACTGAGGATGTAGGAGAGGCTCACTGCTTCTGAAGAAGTCATACTTGGGAGGATGGGGCCATGGGACCCAGAGGAGAAATGGGGACTGGGTGGTTAGGGGAGACTTCCTAGAGGAGATGAGCAAAGTCCTGGGGGAGAACATGCCAAGAGCATTGTAGAGGAAGGCCTGAGCAGGCAAGCACACAAAGTGACAAGGTACAAGGTGCTACTGAGCCAACCTCTGCCAAGGCACATCTGGCAGAGCAGTCCCCACTCACGGGCTGCAAAGACACCAGCAGAGACCACCAAGGGGAACGAGCATGCAGCTGACCCTGCATGCTGCCACCCACCTTTGAGTCCCACTCCCATGGAAGCCTACAAACATGCCATTCCTTGTGGCTGCCCTGCCACAGAGGACTGCGTCCTGAGCGCCGCGGTGTCTGCGGCCAGCATGATCTGTTATTATCCCCGTCAGTGGGCCGGCCTGTGTGCATTCCTCGGTGATGAGTCTGGCTTCCTCACAGGGTCTAATCAGTGCCCAATCGCCCCGGCTTTGATCTGCTGCACTCTCTGCAACGCCATACCTGACTTACAATCTGATCAGTGGCTATACTGCCCAAGTCAAAATTACCCCTAGAGAGGTCCCAGAGCCCAAGTGCTCCCTGCTCTTCCGGTGAGTCCTTTCTGCAAGGGCTCCTACCTGACAAGTCAGTTCCCTCACCATCACACCTCTACCTCCATGCATGCATCACCCATCTTGTCCAGGCTCCAACAGGCCCAGCCATACCCTGTACATCAGTTACCCTTGTTGGAACACCTATCCTGCCCCACATCTATCCAGCGACTGCTGGCCCAGAGCCATGACTCTCAAGCAAAACTTCTATAGAAACACCATGTCTCAAATGGCCTTTGCGTCTACTTTATTCATACGTCCCCAGCTCACTATCACACATGTCCCCAGCTGTCCCTGTTTGGCTCCTACCATCCCATGCAGGTCCTTCGGGTGGGTCCCTACCCGTTCAGCTCACATGGGTAAAGATGTGAGTCTATTCTGCCAATTTGAATCATATCCCCTCTTTTCTCTTAGCTCATCTCACCCTCCACCGGTTCCAGCTCCCAAGCCTCTCCCCGGGAGTAGGGTGTTTCGTTGGCCCTTATGTAGCCCTAGGAAATAAGCAAGATGGAGTTAAGCTCTGTGCTGTAGAGCAGGAACACTGTGGACCCAGTACGTTCTAGGCAACTTCATTTCCCAACAAGCCCCTCCATAGCTACTATTACCTAATGAAACAGGTAAAGAAACTGAGGCAAAGAAGGGTAATGGCTTATCACAGCACCAGGTCTCACCAGGCAGGACTGAACTCATCTTCCAAGGACAGTCTTGGAAGCCACCACTATGGCCAACATAGTCTTAAATGGCCAGACTGGTCCAATGGCATCTCACATCTCGCTGTTCTAATAAGTATCCCAACTTTTCAGAGTCATAGGACCCACACATTCATCCATACCCCCCTGCCCCCCCCAACACACACACAGCCTCTAAGACTCCTAGATGTGCATGGCTGCCTCTAGTCAGCCACTGGGATGGTTCCCAGAAGTCTGTGAGGCCAGAATAGCTAAGCCAAGTCTAGCATGATCCTCTGGCCTCCCAACCTCTTCCTTGGCCCTCTGTCCCAGTCAGAACCACAGCAGCCTCTCAGCCCCACCTCAGACACACCTTTTCATCCCTAGTAGATGAGCTCCACAGGAGGAAGGCAGCTGATTACACACAGCCCAGCTGCAGGCTGGGGCTGTGGTTTCAGCACTGTGGACATCTCCTTGAGCCTCAGTTTCACCCTCTGGAAAACATACCATATTGTCTGCTACCTAGCCTACAGGTAGCTGGGCTGCTCAGTAGCATGGGTATGAGAAGCACAGTGGGGTTCACACATGAGGAAGCACAATCAACTATTAGTGCCCCCTGGCCAGCCTTCCTTGAGAACCTACCCCAGGCAAGCCCAAGCCTGGATCCTGGGGTGCCATGCAGGAATATCATCCCAGCCTCCGTAGGCCATTGCCATGGGGGCGGGAGGTAGATGGGGAATAGAACACAGGAAATCACTGCACAGGTGGTTAGCACTGTGTGGATGGTCACTCCAGGAACTGGGGGCCCTGAAAAGGGTCAGGGCATTCTAGTGACCTTGAAATGGGCCTCAGGAGTCAGTCAAATGGAGAAGAGCGGGCACTCTAGGCAGGGACTGGCATGGCCTGGTGCTCTCAGAATAAGTCATGGGGCAGAGGAAGTAACAAGAATGATGACAAAAACAAAGGACACTACACACAGTTGGTGACCAGGGCAGGGTCCTTTCAGGCTCAGAGCACCGCACTTCTATAGTGGGAATTTGTTCCACCAACAGTTTTGGGGGTACCAGTTTTAGGGCGTGGCTTCGGTGTGTGGAAGAGAAGTGGCCTCGCTCTCTCTCTCGGGTGGTGATCTGAGCATCCTGCGTCACATCCTGCACCTCCAGGAACATAAAGACTGCGGTGGCTCTTTACCTTCATTGTGTGAGTGTTCCCCAAATAAGTATTTGTTGTTCTTTTATTCGGGCATCCATGGACTTCCTTAAGCTGCCCTCACACTTCCTTTCTGTAAGCCACTGGTCCCACCAGGTCCCCTCTGCCTTCTTGCTCCTCACAGCCAGCTCAGTAGAGCTCTGCTGGCCTAGCCACGTGGGCTCTAGAGGGACCAGCCCCTAACTGTGCAGTGCTGAGGGCACATGAGAGACAGGAACACCCTCCAGGAGCAAAGCCCTGGCCAGACAGGTGATTCAAACAGGCCAGCTCTGCTTCCTCTGTCTGTGCCACCTTGGGCTCAGACCCTGGACTTTGGGTGGCAGGAGTTACCACAGACAGGTGGAACCAGGTTCCACCGTCCCAGGCAGACAAGTTGCACATGCTAGCCACTGCATTGCATTTATTGACATGTCCTTTTCATAGGGCCAGCTGAGCCTTCCCTGAGACAGGGACTTGGATGTGGACCCAGCAGTGAAGGACAATCAACAGTGGAAAGGGGTTGCATTTAGCCTCTACCCTACACCCTATATGCTGTACCCTGAGAAGCCCAGGGTCTGCCTATCCAAGGAAGGTGGCAGGACGGGGTGGGGTGGGGCGGGGCAGGACACAGCAGGTCTAGCCCTCCAAACAGGACTCTGGAACACAAGAGCTTACAGTCTAGAGTGGAAACAGAGAAGAGGTGGCCTAGAGAACTATGTTGTTCAATGCCTGAGTATTCAGCTATCACTAGTGGGTACCCTAGAAGGAAGACTACCCCTCACCCCACTATAAAACATGAATCAGCAGCCTCCACCTCAGGAGCCTTTCCTGGGACCACTAGGTTAGAAACCATGGCCAGGATGCTACACCCAAGTACAGATGCCTGAGATGTAAGAATTCTCAAGCCCTGTTTATGAGGTGGGACAGTTGTTCTAAGGGTTTCCTGGCCCTCAGGAGCCGGCCAGCTCCAAGAGGCTAATGCTGAGCTCTGCACAAGCTAAAGTTTAATAAAACTGGAAGCAGCTAATGGTTAACAATAAAGAATAATATTTTTCCTTCAAGCAATTAAGTTGTAATATAGAGCTCTCTAATCCCTTCCTGTTCTCTCCCTTGGGATCACAGATCAAGCACCAGGAGAAATGAATTACACATCACTGTTCCCCACTTGAAACCCAAGTTTTAACACATCTATGGGAGAACTATTGCCTCCTGCCTAATGGCAGGAATCTCTTGAGGATTTCTATAATGGTTTCACGTAGCAAGTTATCCTTCTGCAAACACAGGACCTGCAGCCGCCCCACTCCTGGATGCTGATAGATGCCCTTCCTGCTCCTTCTCAGAACACTAGAGCAAACACCAATCTTACAGAGTGCTGCCCCAAACTTCCTTGTTCCTCTAACACTTGGGGACTTAAGCTCTCCAATTTTATCCTTCTCTCCCTGGCACCCTTGGGTGCTACCAGACAGTACTCTGCTCCTCACATTAACAGCCTGTTTCCCATCTCAGCACCTTTGCTCATGCTGGTCCCGCCCCTGGAATCACACCTATATTCCAAGGCCTACTCCCTTCAATAACCCGCACCCAAGTTCTTCTCTTCTCCTTTGAAGCCAGCCTCTGGAAATAGCCACAAAGCCAGGACCAGAGCACCCTGGTCCCATCCATGGACGCTCTGCTATGGACGTCTCTCCACTTGACTTCACAGTGCTCAGCATCTTCAGGAAGTATGTCTCCATTTGCAGGCTGAATTCATAGGTGAACCAGTGATCTAGAGGTTACCTTCTCTCCAGACAAGGAAGGGAGCCAGAGGAGGCAGGACACAGGCCTTTGCCTGTTACCCAAGCAGCAGCAAAGAGTCAGAGAGGAAGCCTAAGGATGACATAATGAGACACCTGGTAAGTGAAGTGCAGGGGAGACAGCAAAGCCAGCGAGGTCACCCACCAGAGATCTTGGGGGTGATTTGAGAGCTCCTGAGTTCAGCATTTAAGGGCCTCTCTAGGCCTCCCCAAAATTCAACTCTCACAGGACCTCAGTCCATGCTTCAAAGCACAGTCCAGTGTTACCACTTGTGCCTAGCAGGCCTTCCTCTGGGGAGCAGCTGTCTGCTTCTGATCCTCAAGTCCAGACTGTGAAAATTCCTGGGGCAAGCTCAGGATGTACTCTACCCTTAGTGGAGGACACACCAGGAGAGCTTCCCTGGATGGCACCATGTCAAGGAAGCAGCAGCAGCAGCTTTCTGGCAGGCCTGGCTGTCCTCCACACCGCATGCATGTCCAGCAGAGGTGTACCGAGTACGGGCTCTACTGAGCACTGCAGCAAACGCAGGTGCATGTTCCACCTCATTTCACCCCAACAACAGCCTCAGACACCCCCAACTTCTGTCACAGTTCACAGACAAGAACAGAAGACAGAGAGGTTAAGGACTGGCGGACATCACCAAACCGGGCTCTTTTGGCAGCTCTAATCACCATGACCCACACCTTCTGTGTCAAGTGCAGGCCTACAGGGAGGGGCCAGGACTGAGTTATTCTAGTGATCAAACCTCTGACGTCGGAAGCCTCCTGGCTCTAGGCTTTATAGGCACTTCTGACGTCTGCCCTTCTCTGCCCCAGCGAAGCCACTGGGCTGCCCAGGCCAACATTCTGAGGACTCACTGCCCTGCCCACATACCATCCAGACCAGACAGCAAACAAACAGGACACAAGGCAAATCCCATGCATCCTCCCAAGCGTGTTCTCCCACGCACTGGTGCTGGTAAGATGTCTAGGGGCCCACCACCTCAGCCTGTAGACAACGCCACAGCAGCAGCATCCTGTCCAGAAGATGACGCAAGTATTCCAGGCTGGGATTCTCCCATCTGGAGAATCCTGGGTGCTGGGCCTGGGCGGGAGCAAATGAGGCCTTCTCTGCAAAATTAGCCATCACTCCAGTCACGGGTGGCAGCCCTGCCCTCCCAGAACTACTGAGCCAGCCCACTGCCCACATCTGAATTCTGGTTCAGCAGCTGCCACCCAGATGGAGGTACGAGGGGCCTGCAGCCCAAACTGCTCCTTCCTAGAGGGCCACAAGGAGAGCATCCCAACAAGGGCACCTTGGTCCATTATGCTTGCCCAGAACCCTCACCAAGCTCCCCACATTCTGGCCCATGCTGCCCTCTGCCAAGTCTATCAGTGCTTGTCCCCCATAAAAACCTCACCCCTTCACAGACATGTCAGCTTATGGGTTCCAAGTCCCTCAACCTGAATCCTCTCACCTGAGACTGGCCATAGACAGGCAGACAGGCAGACAGGCAGACACAGGCAGACACAGGCAGACACAGGCAGACACAGGCAGACACACACAGGCAGACAGACACAGGCAGACACAGGCAGACAGACACAGGCAGACAGGCACACGCACACAAGCGCACACGTGCGCACACGCGCACACGCGCGCACACACACACACACACACACACACACACACACACACACACCCCAGTCCCACGTAACAGCAGGTATGCTAACCTCATGCTAAGAGCCACGTTGTCCTAGCTGCCCCCACTGCTATTCTGAGTCCTCAGCTTGCTCACAGCAGTCTGAGTCAGAAAAATACCACAGAAGGAGGCTTAGCCAGGCAAATGGTTATTTCTAGGTTCTGGATGTTGAAAAGGTAAAGGTCAAGGTGAAGCATGGTAGGTTTTAGATACAGGCCCTTTCCTAGATTCTAAATGCTGCCTTCTTGCTCTGAGTTTGTATAGTGGGGACACTGCCTGATGTCTCTTTCTAGAGACAGTAATCCCTGTGACCTGCCCTTGTGACCTCATCAAACCCAATTACCTCCTAAAGGAGCCACCTCCACATACAATCACACTAGGGGTAGCGGGCAAAGGAGAAACAATTCAATCCAGAGTACGGCTGCCACAACCCACAGCTCCTAAGGAGGACACTCAGACAGGAGGAGGCTGGCTGATGAGTAAAGGTCACTAGCAGGAAGTAGAGTTGGGATTCAACTCTGAGTCCTAACTCTGAGCTGGGCTGCTCCAGTGGGGAGCCAGGGCCACAGCCCCACCAGTATCCACGATATCCCAGTCATCTGAATCACTACAGGACACAGGCCCTCGGCCTGGGGACCCCTGTTATGCAGTAGAGGTCTCAACCTGACCCCTACTTCCCAACAGCCCTCGCCTCTTAATCCCTCCTGTCTTCACCCCTCCACTCCTTCCTGCCCTCATTTCCTCACCCTTGTTCATTCCTTTCTCTCTCCCCGCCTCCTGTGCTTTCTCCCCTCACAGCTGCTGGTCACAGCCCCGTTTTCTCACTTGCACCTCTTTTCAAGTTCCACCTTCTTCCCGTTCCACCCTCTGTGTGGTGACCCTTAGTCCAGGCAGGACATTTAGAAGGAAGCCAGCAGGTGGGCAGGGTTACCGTCAGCACTAGAGAGGCTGAGGCTAGAGGATCACAAGTTCCTGGGCCAGCCTGGGCACAGCAAGACCCCATCTAAAAGGAATGGGGGAAAACAAAGGCAGGCAGAGTCATAGACCTTGTTCCTCTGTGGGGTAGGCGGGTGACAACTTCAGCAGAGGGCTTTGTTTTTCTGGTTTTTGGTTGTCTTTCTTTGTTTTTTGACACAGGTCTCATTATGTAGCCTGGGCTGACCTAGAACTAGCAGTCCTCCTGTGTAACTGGGATTTCAAACCCGAGCCACATACCCAGCATCCTTGTTTTTAATTGAACTGTAATGTACCTCTCAAGTCTCTCTCTTTGAAGGCACACTCCGGTGGTTTCCCTATAGTCAGAGCAACACCCATCACAACCATCTGCTCCAGAATATTGTCAGCACCCTAAGGACACCTTCCCCCCACCAGCAGTCCCTTCACTGCCGGCCTCCCAGTCCCTGCACACAGGCCCAATCAGACCATTGCATATAAATGGAGTTACACGCTATATGCCCCGCCCAAATTCATCTGGCATCTTTCCCACAGTGGGACGATTCTAAAGTGCATCTGTACATTCATGCTGTCACAGGTATCAGTACCTCGTGATCTTCACGGCTAAACCGATTTTCCACCAAGTCACTCCTGTTTATCTACTAGTCAGCCATAGTGCATTTCAGCTGTTTCCACTGACTGGCTATGGTGGGTACTACAACTATTAGTACTCGTGAGCAAGTTTGTGTAGACACACTTCTTCCATCCTCCTGGGTACAGAGCTAGGGCTGTAGGTGCTAGATCAGAAGGTAACTGTTCGCCCTTTGAGGAATGGCACATTTTACATCCAACGGTGTAAGAGCAGAGTGGTCCAGGTTCTCCACACTCTCATCAGCTCTCCTCACCTTCTATCTTGATTATAGGCATGGGGGTGGTATGAAATGGTAGCTCACACAGGAGAGATCAGAATTCATCATCAGGGACTGTGTTCATTCCCTCCCAGAGAAGTCTAGGGCCAGAGTTGCCTGGAACCTGCTCCCCTCAGTTCCTTTCTACCTGAAGCCCTCCCCACCTATCAATCTCATTGAGTTCTGGTGTTGGGTGGGTCTGTTCTAAGTCTTATAATTGCCCCCACGGTAGGGATGCACAAACTGAAACAGATGGAAGTGGCTACGATGGCAGAGGCAGACACAGAGCTCCAGCTCTGCAGTCCAGCTCCAGAACCCTATCTGTGAGCCACCAGTCAGAAAGATACTGCAGCAAACACGGCTGGTTTTAAATTGGTGCTCCCGCCATCTGAGAGCCCAGCTCCCTCCACAGTCTGCCCTGCCCACGATCTATCCAGCCACACAGTCAGCATCTAGTGTTTATGGAAAGCAGTCCAGAATCCCAGGAGTACTCTGCCTCCCTGCGCCTACCTATGAGTGGTCGCCTCACAAGTCTCCCCCAGGCCCCTGTGCCCATCCAGAAAAGGACTCACCTGAGACTGGACTTGCAGCATGTACTCTAAGAAACACTAGACTCCCACAGGCCACCTATCTAGGGACACTGAGGCGCTATCCTCATCTGGAAATAGGGATAAAAACGATCCCTTCCCTTCCCTGGTATCTAATCCGCTATCCTCATCTGGAAATAGGGATAAAAACGATCCCTTCCCTTCCCTGGTATCTAAAGCCCCTGGGCCAAGGTCAGGAGCAAATCTGGGTCTAGCAAGTAAAGCATAACACAATGGAGTCAGAACTAGATTGACAACAGTTAGTTTATTAAAGGGATAGTACTCACGAAAGGGCCAGTGACCAGGTTTACACCAGAGCCGGAGTGACCACTCAGCCAGGTGGGAGAAAAGAGGTGCCTCTCTGCTACTTAAACCCTTGCTACATCACTGTGACCACACCCAAGCAGGCGTGGTCAGCGGCACCTGTGGCCAGCCCCAAGCAGGTGTGGTCAGCAGTACCTCTAAACAGGTTTACTCCCACAAGCAAGAGTGTAGCAGTCTCCTCCAATGGGTAGGACCAGGAGAGTGCCATGATGGACATGATCTGAACCTCCTTGTCAAGGGCCAGGTATGGCCTCCCACTGCCCAAAGTGACAGAGCCTGGGTATCTGCAAGTATACTGAGTGACCACAGATGGCCAAATGAGTCTTGACCAGTGTGGTGTTGCCCTCCATCTAATGCCATGAGGAAGTGAAGGCACTAGAAGCCATCACAGTTTGTCACCCTGGTGGATGCAGAGCAGATCTAAGCTTCAAAGTCAGCTGGACCCTGGATACATGAGCGGCCTGCCCCTGCCCCCAAACTGCCCCTCTGCACCCCTGCCAGTGGGATGTAAATGGCAATGCCACCCCTTCCTCCTTATGGAGCCTCAGGGAACACTGCACAGCTGCCTGTACCTAGCTCTATCCTGTGCACTCTCTACACTAACCCGGGCACAGGCTGTACCCCATTTGACAGGGGAGGAGA